CTGGGTTAGGAGGTTTCTGGTCCAACTTGTTCTCACAGGGCCAACCTCAAGCAAGTGCCATCCCCAGCTGGCATTTTGCTCTAAGCATTAGTTCTCTTCTTTGCCCTGCCTTTGCCATTGCACAAAGCCAGTTTGCTTCCCCACTGACAGGAGACTTGCAGCCCTGTCCTGCTATTGCTATGTCATTTGCAGGCAGACATCTGGGCACTCTCTCTTGCCCTTTCCAGAGATGTGCCCAGAAAATGGCAGGTGGGCTGGCGTGCTTATGCCAAATGCACATCACTTCCTTTGCTGTCCATGACACTGAGCTGGCGTTAGCAATCACGCTGCTCTCCCTGGCACATGGGATACTGCAAATGCCAAAAGCTTACAGAAGCTCAAAGGGCAATGTGAGAAATCTGCAGAGCATAGCTAAGTACACAGAAACCTGGTCTAGCTAGGAAACCCCTGAGGCAAAGATGCCTGGGGCTGGGAGAGGATCAGCTGGAAATAATGTCTATGTGCCTGTCCTCCTACTCCAAGGTGGTTTTGGCAGTTATCACAAGAAGAGACTGTGCTGGCCGGTCATTGGGTCTGATGGGGTGTATCAGCTCTTCTTTGGTACCCCATCACCAGCCAAAAGGACTTTTCCATGGGCTATTTTAACTAAGGGTTGTGTGGGAATGTTCTGATAAAAGACCTTTATGGTTTGAATGAAATATCATGGTTTGAAATGACTCCTGACAGAGAGCATTGGACTTGGAGTGAGTGCAGAGCTTTGTATGCCAAAATTACCAACCTTCTTTTGTTGCTGCTGGTTGTCTGCAAGAGGAGAAGAGCTGGAGCTGCAATTCTGCAAGATGCGTTTTATTCTTTGATTTCCAGTACATGGAAATGAGATGAAACTCGTTCCCTCAGCAATTGCTTTGACTACAGACTCGAGGAAGTGCAGTTTCTGGTACAGAAGTGCAGACAGTTGGACGGGCTCTCAGTCTTCATGTCAAAGCACGGTTCTTTAGCTCAGGTGAAAGGGACCAGCAGCAGCTGTGCTTTGCTGCAAACTTGCCCCGTGGTATCACTGGGGATCCCTGCAGGAGGCAAGGAGGAAGGGACAGGGAGGGGTGTCAAGGCTGGTTGTTAAGACCAACACAGGACGTCTATCCCCAGGCATTCAAATGTGTTGGAGAGATTCTTCAGAAATTGCTTTTTCCCACCTGCAGTGTGATTGAGGGTCAAAACAGGAAGAAAAAATCCATCTTTTCAAGGGCTGTGGTCTTGCACAGTCATGGGATCTGGACTGTTTGGCTCCTGGAGACATTAGGTTATGGCACACACACCACTGTCAGCCCCAAATCAAAGCTGATTCTAGACCTCTGTCTAGAAGGGACATCTTGGAAACACCATCTAGATTGACCACAGATTCTCACAAGGAGAAGAAAATGTTTCGTGGTTTAATCTTCTGATTTTTCCCTCTGTCTCATGGATTTGGGACTCCTGGTTCCTGGCCCTGCAGTGACTGAGCACCAGGGGTTTCAGGGTGATAATCAGTGCCCCTTTGGTTTTCTGTTGTACAAGAGCTATCACAGCTTGTGCTGAAAGAGCCTCTGGGCCACAGGAGAGAGAGATTTTAAATCCAAATTTCAGTGTGTACTTGCGCTGTCAGGACTTTGGGTCTCTTCAGCCCACTGTGTCTAGCTGGTAAAGTCCAGGGGCAGCTCAGCAGAGCTCAGTGCTGCAGTCGGTTCACATCGCTCTGTGAGCCTTAGCCAAGCTGTCCTGGCTCTGCCAGCCACCCACCTCTGCCTCGTTTCCCACCATGTCTTGTAATGCAAGAAAATAGCCTCACACAGCAACCCATACCTCTGAAAAAGAGGACTGTGGGCAGCAGGCTGATAGAGCTGCACCCTGAATGCAGCAGGAGCACAGGACTAGGTGAGGGCACCAGGAACACAGGCTGAATTCCACAGACTCACCGACAGCCCCATGGTAGCTTGTTGCTGCCCACATCCTCACAGCCACCTCTCTACAGCAGGAGTGAGAGGCAGAGACCATATTGAAGGGTCCAGGAAGAGCAGGGTGATATGAGTGCACATCCTAGATTACTGCAGAAAGCAGTCCTTTGAGGCAGGATAAATTGTGCAGTTGCCTGATCCTCCTCCTTCTCCACTGATCAAACACTGCCACATGGCCACATGCGTGCAGGACCCTACAGAGGGGGGTTGTAGCAGGCAAAAGGCAGTGTGATGCAGATCAGGCATGCTCTAAGAATAGCTCGTGTTATTTTCATATACTTGCTGCTTCTCAAACACCATTAGGAGGTAATCCTTTTCTCTGGGATTGCAGTCTCATCCCAGGGACAAATTTGCCTCAGCAATTCTTGCTGATTGGAGATTCATACAGAGAGTGGACTTGGCCTTTGTTCTTCCTGCCCCTTTTCCTAACAGCAGAAAAAGCAGCAGGGCACATCTACCTAACACGGGGCACTTGTTCACCCCCTAGAATGATCACTTGGAAAACTGCATAATAACACCACCTCCTGGCAGTGGCACTTTATGCCCCATTATTCTGCATTATTCAAGGAAGTCCTGTTGGTGTTGGGTCTAAGTATCAGAAAAATCCTTTTTAAGTGGCATCCTGGTTTCTTTTCGTAAGAGAGAGAATTATTTTGTGTGCCTTTGAGGTATGCCACACACAGCAAGCCAGAGCACACCCACAGGCAGTTTACATTTTGATACCTCTGCTGTTCTCAGAATTTAAGAAGGCATCCCTTTTAATTAACTTTCCTGAAAAAAGTTATTTTTTCATACATGAGGGCAGGATGAGGTGTACATTTCAATAGGCATTGTCAGGAGAATTATTGATTTTGTTAGTAATGTTTCTGAAATTGTGCCATTCCAGTAATTCTGCCAGGTTCTCCTTGAAAGCTTAGCTAAGAGCATTTTTATATCCTTCATTAGTTTTTTTAATATACGATAATTTCCCCTAACTCATCAAGGCAGAGCAAGATCAGCTGCATGCTTGGTAACCATTTTTCCTGTGTACAAACCTATTGCAGCAATAATTACAAACTGGACAAATTATTACAGATATTCATTATAAAATTACACCGAGCAGTGCTGCATTGTTACACTTTTCACAGCCATCACTTGCTCTTGAGTAAATGGTTTCATTATGAGCATGAAGGGCAAACTTAATACACTCCTGACTCACAGCAAACAGCACAAGAAATCATCCTGGCTGTTCCTCGGAGTGCTTGCGGTGTTTACCCCGAATGAGTAGAAAATGTTGACTCTGCTGCCAGATACTTGTCAGCTTAACAGAGGGGCTCTGGGTGGCCAGTGCAGATGTGCAAGAAGGGGAGAAAGCCAGAAATTACAGCAGCATGGCCTGAATTTCACTCCCCTAGAGCATGGCTTTCTTCCACGTTTATGCGTTTTCAGTGCTAGGACTTGCCAGGAGCAGCAGAACCTCCTTGATCATATATTAGAGCAGCCTTGGGGCTGCTTCAACTTGTGCTGGCTGCTCGTGGAAAGTGCAGAGGAGCCAGGGATGGGACAAGAAACATTTCTTCGAAGGACAAGACAGACAAGCTTGGACAGGGAGAGAGTAACTGGGAAGCTTCTTTAAGAGCATTCACAGGATCGCAGAGCTGTCAAGTGTTGGGGGAAAGCAAACCCAATCAGAAGGTCGGCAGCAAGCACAGGGCTACAGACAGTCACTGCACTGGCTTTTTAGTGTTGTTATTCCTTCTTATTTTTTGTCTGGGACAAGGTCAGAGCCAGGAGGAGGTCTTGTCCCATCAGCAATGCCATGAGTGCATGACAGTGAGCAGACATTCCAGGGCGGAGCAGAGGCTGCTGGATTTCTGTCTCATATGTTGTCTTTCCAAGGACTTTGCACTGTAGGAAGGATCACAGTAGCACGGTCCCCCCACACCATACCCCTTGTACCCCAGATTTGGTCACCTTCTGGTGAGCAGCTTTCAGCTGGATGTTTCTGGACTGCTTTCAGTCCCTGAAAAGAGCTGAAAAACTTCTTCTGTGCTAATTTTTTTCCCCTGGTAAAGCAATTTTCACTTTATTGGGGGCTCAAGGAGCAAACCTCTCTGTGGGTGGCCACAGCCTCCTGCAAGGCTTTCATCTTCTGTGATGTGTGCTTGTGGCTATGCTCTGGGCAGGGACTCTGCCTTTGGACCTGTCCTGATGATGCTGCAGAGGCAAATTCAGCAACCCTGGGTCATGTGAGGGAGAATTGCTGCTCAACTCTTAAACAGGAGAAAATTAAACCTTGAAGGTTTGGGAAAGGATGTGCTGCTTGTGAAGTGAAATTAAAAAAGTAAAATCTCACCATCAGAGAAGCTTTCCATCACCCTGCTCTAACCAGAAAGACTATTTTTCCTTTACATTCTCTTCACAGAAAAAGTCCTACTCCAACATCTCTTTCAAGCTTGTAAATTAGACCCTCCAAAGTCCAAACCGAGCAACTGAACATGATGTTGTGCATGGATCTGCTGTGCCTGGTGAGACAGAGTCTCTTCCATGCACAAGCTTGAGCAGTGCATCATGCTTTCAGAGGCTTGGTCTGTGCTTGTTCCCAGTTCTCATACCCATGCAGTGTGTGCAAGCTATCAAGGAGCTGTTCTATACCCTAGGTTTTTGGAAAGGGAGGTGTCTTGCTGCCCCCACTGCCCCTCCAAGGCACTTCTAGGGCAAGCTGGCCCAGGTTGTGTTGGCCTATGACCATGCCAGGGGGGATGGCACCCTGCAAGCTGCTGGTGCTCTGACCCTGTGGTCTGTGCTCATCCTGAGGCAAGCTTGGCCCATTGGCTCCTGCCTTTGCTTTTGGCTGTGCTGTCCCTCCAGCCTGTGCTACCAAAACCACTGTTTTCTGTTCGCAGCTCCCTTCTCCTGCTGTTTCCATCCTCCTCTTCCTCCTCTTCTACCTTTTCTTCCTCTCCCTGTTTCCCCTCCTCCCTTTTCCCCCCTTACTCTTGAATCTCTATTTCTTCTTCTCTGTTGCAGCAAAACGATATCAATCAAGGTGATAGATGATGAGGAGTATGAGAAAAACAAGACCTTCTACCTAGAGATCGGGGAGCCCCGGCTGGTGGAGATGAGTGAGAAGAAAGGTGGGGGACGTGCTCCGGGGCTGAGCCCAGCCTGTGTGTCCCTGTCTGGCTCACTCATGTCTGGCACCTGCAACACCGAGCTCACATCCCCAGAGCCTATGGAAAAGGGCAGGAGCAAGACCACTTCCCATTCCCTCTGAACGCGGCCTTTCCCCAGCTCACCAAGCTACAACCTTGGCCAGGTGGTGGGGATGCTCCTGCCCTTCCCCATATGCCCCAGGAGGGATGTGCAGCCGCTTTCCCCCACCCAACCATCTCTGTCACCACAGCACCCGGGCGGACGTGAACTGCATGTGTGTGTGATGCCAATCATGTGTTTGCCTTTGTCTTGTGTTCCCACAGGAAATTCATTACCCTTAGAGTACTTGACCGTGAGGAGTATGAGAAAGAGTGCAGTTTCTTCCTTGTGCTTGGGGATCCAGTGTGGCTACGACGAGGAGTGAAAGGTGTGAGAGTAAAACCAGACCAGCTCTCGAGACGCTGCCGTCCGCTTTCTCTGTGTCTTCCTACTCTCACACTCCTTTCTCCTCGCACTTTGGCTCCTGGCCGTTTTGCCCTCCCTCCTCCGAATCTTGGCCGCTGCACCTTTTTGCTCTGTTTTCTTTCCTCTGTCATTTTGAGAGGATTCTGCCTCACTCACGAGGAGCAAGGCGTGCTCTCAGGATGGCCCCGGAGCACCTGGGCAGGGGACAATGAGCATCACCAGCCCCCTGAGGTGTTTTGAGAGTAACTGCCCTGCCACGTTGCAGCTACACCTTCATTTAATCACGTAGAACGTTCAGTCTCGACAAGTAAAAAGGCAACACTGCATCATTTTTATCAGAAGATAAAACAGCTTTCGCTTGAAATAAAATGCATGGCCAGAGCAGTAATTTTAGCCTTTTTATGCTGGCACTAGGATCTGAAAATAGTCGAAAATCACAGCACAAGCAGGTAGTACCATGAGATGCAATCACTTTAGGTAAATCAGGTTATACTCAAATGAAGTTTCATGGCTCTGCATTGGATAATAGCTTCTCACAGGAATAATAAAAACAATTTCCTCTTTCATCACATTTTTGAACCAACTGCAAAACTTCCCAAAAAGGCAGAGTTCACCTATTTTCCCATGTATTTTTTCTGCTGGAAAATAGGGTGAAAATTAATGGCAACAGCTAGTTCTGCATGCTATTCATGGCTGAGCAAGAAGCAGTTTTAGAGCCGCTTAAGATATGGACCATTATTAAAGCCTTTGTAGAAACTTGGCAGCCTCATTTGCTCTGTCTGCCTTGGAGCTGCTTTCTAGTTTCTGGGACATCAGCGCTCCCTTCAGCAGGCATGGGGCTGTAATATATTATTTGATCAGGACAGAGAGGGCCCCACACTGAGTGGGGACTTGCCACGTTCCTCTTCAGCTCAGGTACTGTCTAGGTCAGCTGCGTCATCCCCTCCATCAGCTTTCCTGCTGGTTTATGTGACCAGCTAGCAAAAGCTGGACTAAAAAAATCAGACACACTGGCATGACTCAGGCACTGCAGGTGGGGTCTGTATCATTAAATGGTGCTGGTGGCATGTATGGAGCATAGAGAATGTTGCCAAGATAAATTTACACGTGGACAACTCCACTCAGCAGCTCCAGCCTTGCCCAGCTTCACAAAGGCCAATGTGGACTCAGTCTTGCAAGTCCGGCAAGGGCAAATATGCTTTCCAGGGCCAAGTTTGAGAATTGTGGTACTAACTCTGTAGATCCTAGCTGAAAATTTTAGCTAAAAATAAAAGGAAAAGGAAATAAAGTTTCTCATTTTCCTAGTCACAAAGATAACTGAGGAAAACTGAGAGAAGCTGAGCTTTGAGAACTCACTGGTTGGAAGTCAGAAATTTAAGGGATGCTATTTGCTGCTTTGGCCATGCAATCTTTTTTATTTTTAACTCGTTTCTTTGTACTTGGTTTTGTTCAAGAGGCAGCGAGGCAGGGGTAGTGTGACAAGGGCAGCCCAGAGACAAAGGCATCTCTGAAATGTCACCCCGGACCACAGAGTTGTGTTGGGGTCTGCATCTCAGGAGTGTGAGACCCACCAGGGCACTAAGCAAGAGGCTTTTTCTTTTTGGAGACCTAAAATGTTGAGCAACAAGATCCTTGAGCCAAGCCTTGCCACAGACTTTTGTTCTCTCATTGCATATGACAAAAGTACAGCTGTATGCTGGAGATGTTGCTCCCCATTAGACAGCTGGAGGAGGTCAAAGCCAGTAGCTGCTGCACATGGGACATCTTGTGTCCTCCCCTGGGGCAGAACTGCCTCTGAGACCAATGGAAGATCTTGCACATAAAATTCGAAGGGGGAAAACTAATTTTTGGAGTGTGTCTTTTAATCCCATATCCACCCCATGTTTGCAATGGTTTTTATTTTAAATCCACAATCCCATGAAACCTTTCTGTTCCTTTATTTTTAGTGCCTTTCTCTTAACACTAATGGTATCCTGCAGCCTTACAGATCTGAAATCTCTGCCCTGGGATCTGGTGTCTTTCTGTGGATATCCCTTTTGATTTCATTATTCATTTACTTTTCTTCTTCTGTGTTTGTCTCTGTCTCCTTCACAGCCCTGTTGTTGAATGAGCTTGGTAAGCGCGCATTCATTTTTCCTTTCCATTTTTCCAGTTTGCGTATTTTCAGAACACAATTGATTTTGCTTGAAGTTTTTCTTTGCTCATAGCATTCTCTTTTAGGGTCATCAGCACTATTTAAGTAAACTCAGGTATCTAATGCCCCATCTCTCCTTAGAGTAGAGTCCCAAAGTCACCAGTATTAATGAGTGGTAATCCGCTGTGGCAAGGAGCATTTTTTGGGGGTGGTTCAGTTACAGCCATAGTATACCTGCCAACACGCCATGATACAGGCTTGTGGCATCCAAATTAACCCATCCCCTCTAACATTGGTGTGGCAGAAACAGGATTTCTTGGAGACTTAGGGATGCTTGTCGCTGGACAGGAAAACTGGTCAGTCCTGTTTTGAAGAGACAGTGCAAACTTTGCCTCCTGTCTTGGGAAGATTCAGAGCCTATCCAGCCTTTACATTTCCCTGCTGGTCATTTCCAGGATAGGACAGCTGGGGAGGGAAGCAAAGCCATCCTGTTTCTCCAAAGCACCCACAGCCCCGGGGCAGACTCACACTGATTTTACCCCCTCCACAGCATATACTGGATACCAGGGGGTGGCAGACTGCAGATGTGGGTTGAAAAGCCTGTGTTCAGGTCTCCCCACACTATCCCTTGGGTATGTGTTGGGAAGCAGCCTCCATGTCCACAGTTCCTGGCCATGGAGCAGGGAAGGACCACCTTGTGGGCTGCAAGGTGTCTGTGTTGCTGTGTGAATGCTAATCCTCATTTATTCTCTCTCTCTCTCTCTCTCATATTTGGTTTCGTCTAGGTGGCTTCACCATCACAGGTATGGATTTCTACTTTTCCCCCTATCCCCCGCTTCCTTTCTCTTAATGGCCATATGCTCACTTTGCTCTTTCCTCTTGGTTTCCTCTTTGCTTTTGTTCTGTCCTGGAGGGAAACTCTGGAATGGTAAGAAGGCGCTGAGCTGTGGCCCCACTGCCCCAGCCAGTCCCTCTAACACAGTGTCCTCTCACAGAGTGCTCTGCCTGCCACACACACCTAACTCCACCTCGGGGAGGGTGAGCTGTCACTCCTGAAGTGACAAGCAGCCCCGCTTCATCTCTTAGAGCAAGGTGGGCTTCTCCACTTGATCCAGTTGTCCCCTCTGTGCTGCCCACATGGGAGGTGTGCACAGGGCCCTGTCCTCCCCAGGCAGCCACCAGGGTGCCCAAGCACTGTGGGAGGGGCAGGCTGCTTTAGCCCCTGCCCTTCCCACCAGCGAGACCCAGAAGCAGGGCTTGCTCCTCTGTCATTAGCATCTGTCATTCAGCCAAGCACTGCAGGACGAGAAGATCCTGGGTCCCACACATTGCAGAGCAGCCCCTCAGGAGCCCTGGAAACAATAATTCAGACCTAGGAGGCTTTGGCAGTGAGGTGGGTCCCTTTGACAAGCAGGAGGAGAAGGGCTTTCCAGCAACTCATTGCTGTCTGTGCAGATGAGGGGTAGCCAGCAAGGGAGCAACACTAACCCCGTGTGACGTAGGAATAGTTTACTAACTGCACGGTGACAGTTTGCACAGGGTGTGCAGTCCCTCCTGCTGATGTCCTGCTGATCACTTTGATAGGCAAACCCATCTTCAGGAAGGTCCAGGCTAGAGATCATCCTCTTCCTTGCACCGTGGTCTCCATCCAAGGTACCTATAGCATGACACCTGAGGGCCACGTCAATCCCATGTGGACTGACTGTGGTGTTTGCCTAGTTACAGTTTAACTCCAGTCCTTTTAGTCCTGACATTCTTCTGATCATCCCTCGAGTGGACTGGAAGGGAGTTTAGTGGGGTCTGCACAAGGGACAGTGACAAAGGCCATGAGCTGCAGTCTCCATGCCCCAGAGGTTGCAGGGATGCCAGTGGAGGTGCAGACCTGCTTCACTGCTCATGTAGTCCCTCTGCTGCTGCCTCTCTCAGGGTTTGGGGCCAGGCACTGGCCTTTGGATGACTCCTCACACCTGTATGGCCCAGTATTATTTCCTCCAGCCCCACCATCACAGCAGGAGTTGACTGCCAGCTTCCTCTCTGAGGCAAAACCCTACTCAGAAGGAGGCAGAGCCAAGATTTCATATGCGTTCTCAGCCCTGGGGTTGCTGGTAGCTCTCTTGTTGTAACAGGCTGATGGAATTGTCCTGACCATACCCCACTGCAGACCTGGAGTGCTGGGAAATGGGGCAGCCCTAGTGATAATCTTTCCCCTTCCCAGCATCCCTGTGGAGAGGCAGCGGGTACCAGGCATAAAACTGTTCCTCAGCACTAAGGATGAACAGGACTCCTTCTGAGGTTGGATGAGTTGCAGACCTCTTGCTAGCGCTTCTCCCTAAAACTATCTTGTCTGTTGCTCCATGAGCTCCTTCTCCACTGTTCTGTCGCTCATGCTCCCACATGGAGGCTTCCTGACCTCCCCCTCTGACAGGAAGCCACATCCAGAGAGTGACCAGCTGGGCCTGGTTCGCTGATGGGCTCTTTGCTTTGCAGAGGAGAATGAGGAAAAGCAGCCACTGACCAGCAAGGAGGAGGAGGAGCGTCGCATCGCAGAGATGGGGCGCCCAATCCTGGGGGAGCACACCAAACTTGAAATCATCATTGAGGAATCCTACGAGTTCAAGGTACTGTCCACATCCTCTGTCCCTGTTCTTCTTCCCCTCTGGCTGGGGCCCCTTCTTTTGGGTTGGCACAGCATTGGCAAGCACACGTTGATGGTATTGCAGCAAAGCGAGGCAACACGTGGCATCACAAGGTCTCAGAGCAGGACCAAGGGACGCTTTGGAAGGTGACTGAGCCAAGGCATGATGAAAGGGTGAGGGTCACTACAGTGAGATGGCAGTGGGTTAAAATACACTCTGCATCTTCACTGTCCATTTTAGCCCACAGCCATGGTCCTTCAGGGACTGTCTGTCCCCCCCACAGACTCTTTGTGGTTGTTATTATTATACTAGAACATCAGTCTGGTGAGCGTAAGAGCTGACTGAGCTCCAAAATGCTGCAGGTTGCTTTAAAATATAACCTTGTTCTCACGGTGGTGTGCTACACACAGGTCCTACTTACACGCCTAGGACTCCCAGTGCAGAGGGCTGATACCCTAAATGCAAGTAATGGTTGTGCAGCTCAGCTGCCATGAATGCATGTGCCAGACCAAGAGCTGAAAACCGGCCATTTAATTCTTTTCCACTTTTCTGAAGTATCAAAAAATAACAGACCGCCCTTACTGTGTCTCTGAGATGCTTCAGACTCCCATCGTGAGCAGGCTTCAAAAGGTCTTTTTTAGCAGCAGAGAGGAGAGTTGCTGTTTTTGCTGCTGGGGCTCTTGACCGGAGCTTAAAATCTGCTAAGCTTTTTCTATAAATACATGGCTGTAAGCACCAGTGTGAGTGGGTTTTAGCCCAGTATCTCTAGCCTGATAGTCCCTAATTCTCTCCTCTGCATCTCTATCCACAGAACACAGTGGACAAGCTCATTAAGAAGACAAACCTGGCCCTGGTGGTTGGCACAAACAGCTGGAGGGAGCAGTTTATTGAGGCTATTACTGTCAGCGCGGGTGAGTTTGGACCACAGCTCCAGGTGAATTACAATCAGCCTTGCTCACGTCTCGGCTTGGCTGCATCAGTAATACAGGCTGTAGAGGAGCAGCAGGAGGCAGAACAGGCAACAGAGTTATTTACAGTATCTGCATAAATAAGGCAGCTGATTAAATCCTTGTCTTATGTGTAGGAAACCTGATGCATTATGTGTGTCTGTAGTGCTGGACAGAGCAACACTCTGGCTGTCACCAGACAGCAGAGGGGAAAAGCAAGTTCAGTGGGAGAGATTTGGGAGATGAACTCAGTGTTGAAATTCGGACAGGCACAGATGATGTTGGTGCCAGGCAGCAGTGCTCCCCGTCCCTGGTTCTCCCTGTACCGCTGCACTGAGGGCAGCGCAGTACTGAGGGTGCCAAGCCCTGAAGACAGTGACTCTCTGAGAGCCAAAATTTACCTTTGACACCCTCTGCTTTCAGGAACTCCTGCTGCTCCAGCCACCTGTGGCTGGAGGTTTATGGCTCAGCATCCCAATAACTGCAGCAACATGTAGTAGCTGTGGTTGGGTCTGATTATATCTGATCATATCTTCCCTCCCTTGGAGAATTGTCTTTCCCTCAGAAATGCCCTGTTGTACAGTTCTCGCAGGTGCCAGTGCCATGTTTACCAGTATGCCCAGTACAGGATATATTATTGTTCCCACATCTGTGGAAGATGAGAGAAAGAAGATCTCCTGCAGATGTTGTTTTAACAGACGGAGAGACGATAACTCACTAACTGGATGTTACAACCTCCCAGCCCAGCCTGGGCTCTGTGTGCACACATTAGGGCAAAATCAACCAGTTTAAATTAAATCTCTGGGGAAGGCAGTTAGAGCTCATCTAGCTAATTGTGCATTGAAATGCATGGGGGAGCACTCACATTTCCAAACTCGAACTCAACTATACAAGGTAATGTCTGCCCAGCATAGAGTAATTAAAAGTGATGGCAGTCCCATTTAACCTCTGCCTCTGAAAACAAGGACAGGACATTGTGCAGCAGCTATCTCTTCAAATTGCGATCCCTTCTGTTGTAGCATAGTTTTTCTCAGAGCCTCCAGGCAAGAGCCTCCCATTATTTTGGATACAGCCTGAACATATCATGCAAGACAATCCTTGCTGCAGGTTTTCTAGCTAACATGGCTAAACTAATCTATGCTAGAACCAATTATTTAATTGCATCCCATATTAAGGCAAAGCTAATCACTGATGCTTGGATCCTGTTTCTGTGACACATGTAAAGACTACAGTTATATGAAAGCCCTGTTACCACCATGTCTTGAATATATAGTCATGATCAATGCTGACAGGATGATTAACAAACATATATATTTTGGTGGACATTAACTGTGCCTTGCAGTTGGGAAACAGTAGGTTGTCTCTGAGTTCTGGACATACCCAGGCTTTAGCTCCTCAACCTTTCTGCCAGGCAAGTTAAAATGCCTTAGACACTGGAGGCTGAGTTTGAGGTTTTTTCCTGCAGCTCACCATGGAGAGCGGGTGAAAGTCACACGTTCCCACTTCAAAATGTAACATCCCAGCTGAGAAAAGAAACATTAAAACCCCATTTCCCACCCAATGTGCAACTTACAGCAGTGTTTGCAGGGAGGCTGGGCAGTGGAGCAGCAGGTTAAGCCTGTGGAAGGGCAGTGCAGGTGCAGGCACGGCTATGCCACACCATGCCGTGCCATTCCACACTGTCCATGAGCCTCTCACCCATAGCTCCTTTAGTGTGTACCCAACAGCTGTAAAGTTTCTTCCACAGCAAAAACATCCTGGGGTTTGTGAGTCTGTTCCTGAATGCACCCCTGGGTCACCATCCAACATCACTCTGCGTTTCAAGTCACTCTTCAAAAGGGAGCTGCTCAACATAATGATGGGCAGATGTGGATGAGTGTTATGGCAGTAGCACTCATGTTCATTTTTCAATCTGTTTCATCATCTCTGTAAAGATTTAGGTCCATAACAGCCCTGCTGCCATGCAGCTTGGCAGGGGATTAAAATACCTGCTGCAAAATTATAGCACAGCACAGTGTATCCTGCCACTATCAGCCTTTGTGCATTGAGGAAAAACATGGGCCCATGTAGGCTTTCCAGGCTGGAAAACTTCACGACTAGGCACAGGAATAGGTACTTATATCTGCCAAAATAATAACACCGTGCTGATGATTAGCTACTGCTTTTGTCATAGTGAGTTTGAAGCTTTAAAGCCAAGCAATGCATAATTTTTCATCAAGTTACAGTAGAGACATCAGCAAAAGTGCTTTGAAGACAAGCAATGTCTGCAAAGCTGCACCCCTACAAGATGCTGAGTAGAACTTTTCCCTGGCTGGTCATGGCTTTAATTAGCCAAACATTGTAAACCTCCAAAGACGATGTCCATTTGGCCTCCACTTTCCCAGGAAGGATGCCATGTCTTGTTTCCCTGGTTGACTTTTCACCTTTGTGATGAGGCAGAAAGCAGTTGTTGTGAGCAGCAGCAGAGCAAGCAGCTCACCAGCACCTTCTCCCATTAACTCTGTTGTTGTGGCACAGAGCCACCATTTGAACACGGGGTTAGTTGATACCCCGTTGGTACACAGCATACAAGCAAGACCATTTTATTCACCCCATGGGAGGCTTTATACATTTTGTTATTCCATCAGAGATCCACATTGTGGAGGAAGATGTGAAAGGAGGAATGTTCACCCTGCCCAGCATTATGTGTGTAATATAATATAGGGCAGGTAAAAGCAACACGATCTCATTCAGAATGCTGGCCTGATTCGCACTGGGAGCTGCTGGGAGAAGCTGCTTTTCCCAGGCACAGAGCCAATATCCCCTTAAACCCTTGGGACCTTGTCCCCTCGCCCACTGTAGTGGAGCAGAGCAGAGGCTCAGGTTTCACTGGGTGCTCTTGGCTACTCCGGATCTTGGCCCCTTTTCTCTGCTATCCTGAGGTGTCCTCCCTGGAAGCAGAGCCAGACTCACTCAGGCTGTCTGATGGGGATGGACCATATATTGAATCCTTCCATTGGTAAGGAGCTCCTTCCAACAGCCATGCAGGGAGATCTGTTAGTCCACATCCTTGGTGGGGAAAAAAAAGTATCAAAGACAATAAAATATCACCAAACAGAGTGCAATGGATGCCTTTAACACAATTTTCAGTGGCCTTGGAATCCCTGACGTTCATGACGTAAAAATGCATCCTTGTGCCTTAAGGGAAACAGGAAAGCTCCCCCTGACTTAGTTGGAAGAGCGTCACCTCCCCTCCATGTCTGGGAGTGGTTCCAGTTGAGAGCAGGAGAGGTTTTTGTCTATCCCACCACACTGGCATTGTGCACTGTGCCCTGTGCCAGGCTGGGGACACTCCACATTTGCCATGCAGGCTGCCCAGAGGACAGGCTGCCCAGCAGGCTCACGAGATGGCTCAGAAGAGCTGCAGGAGTCAGGCAGGAGGTCACCAGCCCCAATGGGCTCACTGGCAAGGTCAGCCCCACACAGTGCAGGCTCCATGGATGCCAGCTGGTTTTGGAGAGACAGGTGAGTTGCCAATGCCGGGAGCAGGGAAGGGAGAAACCAAGATACCTGCCTGGACCAACACCCTATGGTCCTGCCAAGACCAACAGGATGAAGATGTGCTGGGCCAGTGTAAGGGGAAAGGGCCAAGAAACCAGGGGAGGGGGCAAGGACAGTCCAATGTCTGCTGAACTCCTTCCCTGTGACCCACAGGAGGGCTTTTGGACAAGAGCCTGCCTGCACATCCAGGGGCCATGGCTGTGAATGTGTAACTCCCTGAGAGCCTTTGGGGACATGCAGCAGCATTCCCCCACAGGGTCAAGAGCCCCTGGGACATCAGGCAAGGATGGGCATGAGGACTCATCCCCGACTCCTCATCCATACTGGAGACCAGGTCTTGCAGGTGCCACGGGGATCACAGCCACGAGCAGGGGTGCGTTGGGAGGGGCTGAGTGCCCAGCACAGCACGAGGAGAGGCAGGGTCTGACCCACACAATGTGCCTGGTGAGCAGAGGTGGAGCCATGACTGCTGGCAGGCTCACACTGGGAAAATGACCCCTGCAAGGCATTGACAACAGATTGGTAAAAAGTGAAACGCTGACATGGATCAGGGACAGAAAATAAAAAGAAGAAGGAAAGTGCATTTTTGCTGTGACAGATGATGCCCCATAACTGGCTCATGACCTGGGGTGCTTGACAACTACCTGGAAAGGAGTGCAAATGGGAAAGTGCTTTTTTGTGCACTGGGAGTGCCTACTGACCTGGGTCAGACCAGACATAGAGGAATGAGCAGACATTATAGGGCCTCCTTATAGGGAGGCATGTGAAAGGGCAGGGAAATGCAACAGGGAAGGACAGTCAGCAGTGATGGGCTAGGGAGGTTCTAGGGCAGGCAAAAATCCATGGCTGGATCCCAGTTTACAGAAAAGGTAAGGTGAAGAACCAGAGCTAGCAGCTCATCAACCACCAAAACCAGCTGGCATTGGTGAAAGCAGATCAAAAGGTTCTTCCTTAGGGGAGTCTCCATGAGGCACATGTTGCTTTCAGTGGTTTCACCTGCCCCAGTCAGCTCCAGCCGGCATGAGGTCGGTTATTTCTCACATCTTCTGGGGAAAGGGCTCTTGAGCACAGACTGAGGCCTAGGAAGCATCTGATGGTTAAACTCAGGCAGAGGTGCTGGCATGAGGCTCTGCATTTTCTGAAATGCAGGTGGTTTTTTTAAACCACTGCCTTTGCAGGGAGTCTCTCTGTGCTGTGGGAAGGGGCATGGAAAGGCCATCGAGCCCCTCTGATGGTTGCCCAGAAAATAAGATACTTGAAAGTCAAAGCTTTCTAGGGTCCAAATCCTGAGAGACAGCATTTTGTAGGCTGCAGTATGCACAGGAGCTTTGCCCAACCTCCCCCAGAGTGGGCAAGTCTAATCAGGCACTGCTGGTTTTCTCCAGGGGAAGATGACGATGACGATGAATGTGGGGAGGAGAAGCTACCCTCCTGCTTTGACTATGTGATGCACTTTCTGACCGTCTTCTGGAAGGTCCTTTTTGCCTTCGTGCCCCCGACAGACTACTGGAATGGCTGGGCCTGCTTTGTTGTCTCCATCCTCATGATCGGCCTCCTGACAGCTTTCATTGGCGACCTGGCATCCCACTTTGGCTGCACCATCGGCCTGAAGGACTCGGTCACCGCCGTCGTATTTGTCGCACTGGGGACATCGGTGCCAGGTAAGGACAACCACGGGGTTTGTTGTAAAGGCCCACCTCTGCCCCGTCCGGGTCTGGGTTTGGGCTGGGAAAACTGTGCTCTGCAGGACCCTGAAGGACAGATTTGAGGTATGTGTGGAAATTGTTTTTCAGCCTCAGATGAGCCAGGATAGAACCAGGATGTGGGTTCAGTCCCATGGAAAGTATTTCAAGGACCTTCATCTTGCAAAGACTGTGAAGTACCTATTTCTGTGGGCAGCCTGCGTGGCATCCACTTTCAGAGTAGGAAGTTGGTCTTTGATTCAAATGCTGCTGGTGTTGACAGTCCTGCACTTTCTTTTTACGCATCTGCTGCTTTAACCTTGATCCTGGATGATTTAAGTGCTAGTCCATACCCAGAGTGCACTGCCCAGCACAGACACCTTTGTGTGAGACCACGTTCAGATGGATCAAGGTGAGGTTGCTGAGCTGGGGGAGCTGCTTGAAATGCAACTCGTGAAGCCCCTAGAAAGGGCCCCACAAATATTTGGCGTGGTGTCTGATCAAATGGGCACTCAGACTCAGAAGGGAGCAGAGATTGAGGACTGACCAGGGAGAGGAAAAACCACAAGTTTCCATGCCTACACGCCACTCCCAGTGCACTCTGACTTGCTGCAACCCGGCCTCCTTTTCCGCTGGCTCAGCAAAGGGCCTTACGTAGGGATGAATTGGTGCACTGGGGAGGATGGTTCCAGTGGCACAGTTGCTCTGGGAATTCCCATGTCAGCTTGTGTGAGAAAGCCTATGCCTTCCACTCACCTTCTTCCATGGGCTGTGCTGGCCAGGCAGAGCCTTGTTCCTGGACTAGGGGCTCTAACCCAACCCACCCCCCCCCCCCCCTCATATTGGTCACACCTTCCCTCACCACCTTCAAACTTCCACTTACCACCACTCAGATGCTCAGAGATCCTGAAATTGTCCTAATGTTATCAAAGGCAAAAAGAAGAAGCAGCATAACCAAAAGGAAGAACAGATTTGGAGCAAGGAACCCAAATCTGAGAAGATTTGAGAAGAAGGAGCGTTTTTTAGACCTCTGGCAGTAGAGCTTTTAGGCAGGAGGTTTGCAGGGCTGCTTCACACCTTTGACAGTGAAAAATCTTCCCTCTTGCTTTTGTCGACAAAAGGTGGCATTTAAGAAGTTCTTTTTAGAATACATTCAGCTACTCTTGTTTCAACTGGCTCCCAGACCTCTTGTGTTAGCTGAGTGCTAGTTGGGCTCCTCCACACCTGCTTTCTGGGAGACAGGCAGGCATCAGAGGGGTGTGCAGTAAAAACAAGACTGACAGGGACCTTCCCTACGTTGAAAACACTGCTCAGGCTTGTGGAAGTGCATGTAGTTTTTTCCACACTCTGCCTGGCACTGGCAGTGTGTCCCATTCCTTCTCCCACACTGGCAGCTGGAGAGCCACAGAGGCATCAGTACTGCCCCACAACTCCGTTATTGCACCATGACCAAGGCTGAGAACCAAGGGAAATAGCTTTTCCTTTCCTTAGCAACCAGGTGCATTTCCATGGCAGCTGTGGTTTTTTATCTAAATAAAGCAGCCTTTTGATTTCTTTGCTGCAAATGAACCCTCTCTCTGTGCTTATATGTATCCACATATGTTACATGGAATGAGATCTTTGTGCCAAACTGCACTTGGCCATCTCACCTTGGAGCCCCACTGGGAAGGAGTGGAAGGAAAATTCTGTAGAATTAAAAACATATGAAATTTGACCTCACTGTTTTCTTTTTCTGAGCCACACTCGGCTGCCTGTACCCAAGGTGATCTGGGAGTGCAGCTATGTCAGAGACTCATCTTCTCTTTGTTAACTGAGAGCACTCACCTGGAGGCTAGTCCCTCCTGCTGCTGCCTCCTCCTGCAGATCCAGAGTGGGTTTGGATGTAAAATCAGCACTTCCCTGTGGTGCAGAGCAACGTCATGCTGGTCTGCTTGACACAAGGGTTTCCATGTAAAAGGTCAGCCAAGTTTTATCACTGGTATTAAAGCCAGTGGAGCACCTGGGCAAGCATGCACCATTCTACATGGTTTTTCTTCCCAAGGGGTGAAAGACGACCTCTGGCTTACCAAAGTGTCGAGGTCACTGGTCACAGTGAGGCAAAAGATATCAGAAAGACAAAGCAAACTCAGAAATACAAAAAAAACTTCAGGGGACCTGAAGGATAGATACAAACCACTGTAGCTCCACAAAACTTTTCCAACCTTTCCAGTTTTTTTGCAAGTGAACAAATTAGTGGATGTGGGAGAAGAGGCCAGTGCAGTGTAGTGTTGTCTCTTGCTTGAAGAACTGCAGGACATCTGAGGCCATACTGGGGGAAGCCCCCTATTTCTGAACATTGAGATTTCCCTCCTGTGCATTTCTGGACCCTGATTGTCACTCTGGCTCTGGCCAGTTGTGCTTTTCCTCAGGAGTGCCCACAGAATGGGCTGTACCCTATCCCCTTACCCATTATCTTCTTTCCCCAGGTATTGCCATTGACATTTGTCCCCAGGCTGCCTGCTGCTCTCCCTCCTTACCTGGATGTTTCCTGAGGGTTTCTCTCTTCCTTTCCTTTGCAGACACGTTTGCCAGCAAAGTAGCAGCAACACAGGACCAGTATGCAGACGCCTCCATCGGGAATGTCACCGGGAGCAATGCTGTGAACGTTTTCCTGGGAATTGGGGTAGCCTGGTCCATCGCAGCCATCTACCACGCGGCGCACGGACAAGCCTTCCAAGTCTCACCTGGCACGCTGGCCTTCTCCGTCACCCTCTTCACCATTTTTGCTTTTATCAGTGTGGGCGTGCTGCTCTACCGGCGGAGACCCGAGATTGGAGGTGAGCTGGGCGGGCCGCGGACTTCCAAGCTGCTCACATCTTCACTCTTTATCCTCCTCTGGCTCTTGTACATATTCTTCTCATCTCTGGAAGCCTACTGCCACATAAAGGGCTTCTAAAGGGACAATAAGAGATAGTAAATATGTGTATATCTATATATATCTATATAGAGTGATATATAGGTATAGATATAGATATAATGCTGTGTATAATGAACAGAGAAAAAGAATAAAAGAGATTTGCCATGTTCACACACCTGCTGATGGAAAGCGGCTTTGGAGCATCCTTTGAACTAGGCAGGACCCCAAAGCCAGCAGGATCCCTCCCCAGGCAGTGGCCCAAGCCAGGAGCCAGGCAGCAGGGCCCTTTCTGCGACTCTACCAACAGGAGCAGCTGATGGCCACCGAGCCCCTTTCCACCACTGACTCCCACCCGCCAGCCACCTGGGAAGATGGATATGAAGGTGACCGGGGTGCGCCGGTATGAGGAAGGCCAGGGTAGCTGGTGAGAAACAGAGCAGTGGGCAAGGGAAGGAGAGGAAAGCAAGGGTTCTGATCTCCAACCGCCATCCACCTGCCTTCGCCACTCGGGAACATCCCCTCTGGCCCTGTTGGAGAGAAGCAAGAGACCAAACTGAAGGCAAAGGGGAAACTGGGAGCTTTCTAAGGATAGAACACAAACCGTTTTCGTCATTGATTTGGGGTTGGTTTTTTTGTTTTGTTTTGGCGTGTGTACAACTAGCATTTCCCACCCACATGCCCCTCACCTTTCCCTCTCCATGCTTTGGGGATGCACAGCCGCAACCCCGTGTCCAGTGTCCTAAGCTGAGGCTGCGTGGGGCGGCGGGGGCTTCCCTCCCGCTTCCTCCGCCTCCTCGGGCATGCTGTCGTGGTACTTGTAACATTTGCATGAATGAAATGAAATCTATCTGTATATAGCAACCTATAGCGATAGTCCTTCCAACCATGTGGGTTGAGCATTGCAGATACAAGTGTTTTTCTTTTCACTGGGTTTTATTTATTTTTAGTTAGTTTGGTTTTGCCATAGGGTTTTTTGCTTGTTTGTTTGTTTCCTCTTAGCAGGGGGTAAAAGGATGGAAAGCTGTCCCCACTTATTGCTTGTTGCATGGGTCCGTGAGAAGCAATAACAGCCACACAGATGTAGGTTTTGAGGGGAGGAAAACCCACACCCCAGAGACTGGAGACTCTGTCTACTGTGTAGCTGGGGTCCTCTGACATGCTGAAGCCAGTGTGAAGGCTTCCACTATCCACACAAGGTTTTACACAAGGTCCCAGGGAGCCCGAGTGGGATGAGCAGTCCAAGGGGGACCAAGAGTGGCTGACTCCCAGCATCTCCCATGCTTCTGCCTTTATAGTCGGTGGCTGCCTCAAAACCCCTTGGTCCCCTGCTATTCCCTGTATTCCCAGAGGTCTGGTGACAGCCCCTGTTTCTGAGTGTTAAGCCATCAGGATCAGTCTCCAAAGCTGGTCCTTTCCCACAGCCATTTGGAGACAGAGTAATTCAACATAAGGGCTGAAGGGCCATAAAGAGATCTCCCATTCTGCTGCTGAGTGCAGCCAGGAAGCATCCCCTATAGGAAAAGGCCAAACTTTGCACTCTCCGAATCCGAAATTACTGGGGAGGATGAGACAGGGAGGTGTAACTCAGCATCACCCCCCATGCTAGTAGTGCAGGTTGGGGTAGAGAGCCGAGCCAGGGAAGTGTGGGTGTAGAGCTCCCCAGGGCACAGCAGAAAGGAGACATTGTGCACTGGTGTTGAGAGATGTCTTCTTACCCTATGCCCTTTGCCAGGCTTCCTCACATTGCGGCCAGGCAAACTCCCAGCTTGCATGTCCGTGGTGAGCTCTTCCCATTCAGCTGAAAACCATGTCTGATGCTTGTACCATAACCAGCTGGCTGGGGGTATTTGTACTCATTTTGAACTATCTGTGGAAATTTTAATGAATCTGCTGTAAGATTTTCTCTAGGAATATGAAGTTGTGGGGGTTTTTTTCTCGAGCCTTTTTTTTCACTTTTGGTTGGGTTAGGGGTTTTTCTTTTTGTTTTTCATTGTTTGGGGGAAAGAATCAAACACAGGTGCAGGTTGTTCAGGTTTATGATTACCTTTATGTACAATGATTTCATTTTCATCTGTTTGGCTTCATTTTTTTAGTTTGTGTGTATTGCCCACCACTATAGGCAGTGAGCCCACTAATTGTGATGATCCTTATCAATGGTACACAATGCACAGAGAAATAAAGTTTGTAATGATTCCTGATGGACCCAGTACTGCTCCTGCATATTCTCTATGGAAAACCCTTCTCTCCCCTCCAGTTGTTTTCCCCTTCGTACGCATCTCTCCTTTACTCATTGGTTTGCCTTCACCATGTTTCTGCCACTGACAGGAGTAGTGGTGCTTTGCACACCCTCTCCTGCCCCATCTCACACCTTTCCTCCTGTTCCATCTCCATGGTGCCTCAGGCTCGGTATGCTGCCATACAGCTGGGGCTCACAGCCCACTCCACCCTCAGGGGGATGCAGGAAACCACCTAGGGACAAAGCTGCAGTGCAACCCACCCTTCTGGGTTCAGATGTTACTCCTGTGCTGGGTCCCTAGTCAGTGCTGGCTTGCCCTAGGCTTGAGGACAGCCATGCCTGTGCCCCCAGGGTACTTAGCAGCTCTTTCTGTTTGTGTTACATGGAGCTGCTCATGCTGTTGCTACAGCCTCACAGTGACTTGCTCTAGGTTAAGCCACAAGCTAATTATAACGGAGGATGCATTACCAGGGCAGGGTGCATGGGTGCCAAAGCAGATCTGAGACACCCCGTGAGGTCACCAAGTACATCGGGAGGCTGGGCTGCTCTCAACAGCTGCTTGACTGTGCCCCTGTCCAGGTGCCATGGGCCATTTCAGACCCAGCTCAGCCAGCACTGAGGAAGAGAAAAGTCTCCACATGCCCAGGGATGTTGCTCCTCCCTGTGTTTCAGGCAGCCTCTGTTGAGTTGTCCCCAAATAAACCCTCCCCGTGATGCCTGGGAGGTCCTGCTCTGACAGCTGAACTCAAACACCAGCTCAACCCAGGTCTGGAGATGGGTCCCAGGCAAGCACTGCCTTCATCCAGTGGGGCTCTCCTTGAGCCTCCTGGTGGGGTGTGTGCTCCCAGGGTCCTGCCCATGCTCCTGCCTGTCTGCCAAGCAAGGTCAGGATGGAGCCACACAGCCAGTCAGGATGGCACCAACAGCAGTGTCTGACTGTCAAACTCCAGGATAGAAACATGCCACCAGGCAAAAAGAGAAAGGGTAGGATGTGGCTGATTTTATTGCAGCATGACTCTGTCTGTAGAGGCCCAGAGGCACTAGAATTCCCACTTGCCAATGCAAGGGGATGTGTGGCAGAGCAAGTAACTAACACACCCTGGCAGCCAAAGCATCTAACATGATCCCTGTGCTGCTCTCAGACGAATCTGACCCTTCCCCACACCCTATGCTGCTTTTGGCCAGCCATGCTGCCGTTTCATTCTCCCTGTGGGTGCTCAGCACCCTCCCGGATGAGTGTGAGTCAAACTCCTACACTCCCCAGGCCAGCAGCGAGCATGGCCAGTCACGTTTATGTGCTTTTCACAGGCAGTGGATTGTGAAAGCAAAGCAGCTCTTCTGACCCAGTAATTGCTTCTATTGAAAGGTGATGTTGGTATTTTGCTCTCATCATTTGCTTCTTCAGAATGAATTGTAGTCACTAAAGTAATTATCAAGCCAAATGGGACTTGTGTAGCCACTCAGGTTAACAGACAGTAAATAACTGTTTGCTCACAGAGCTTTCCAAAGGAAATGATGGAGCAGTGCTTGCTTAGGGCAAGGCTTAAATCACAGGGTAAACACCAGCCCTGTTTATGCAATTACTCCCTGCCAGCTGTGTGCTTTTTGGCATCTTCAACGAGGTTATGCACAGCGTGATGTGTGTGTGCCCAGCGCTCATGGAGGAGTCGTGGGTGAGCAGCAAGGGGAAGGACCGCTCCACTGAGCCCCAGACACCTGTCAGTGTTCCCAAGGGTGCCATGCCTGCTCTTCTGCACCAGCCCTGTCTTTAAACCATACTCTCCGAAGGCAAAAGCAAACTGCCTTCCTCCAGAAGGCACCTGCATTGCTGGGAGGCAGCAGGAGGAAGCACAGTCCCCAGCTCAGGCACGTCTTGCTGTTGTGCCTGCCTGCCTGCCCGGTGGGCCACAACTCAGCTCCCTGGGTCCCCTGTCTCATGCCAGTGTTCTCCCATCTCCTCCTCATTCCTGCCAGCCTCCCCACCTTCCCTCACAAGGGAAGGACATGGAGCATCTCTGATAAAGGCCTGGGTTCAGAAATGTTGCCAGAAACAGCAGTTTAAACTCTTGGCCTCCATCCATCTACCTGCCTTGTTTGCTCTCACTGCCTTTCATCACCCCACTAGCCAAAAGCAAACTTTTCCACAGAAAAGGATGTAGCACGGTGCAAAGTACGTTCAGAGGCAGACCCCCAAATAACTCCACAGGCCACTGCAAAGCGCTTGGGGGCAAGCAGAAGGAACACACCAGAGACAGCCCTAAGCATCTTGGAAAAACCACATTCCCAGCTCTTCAGGGGTCAGCAGGAGTGGAGGCAAATCCCAGCCACAAACTGGAAACATGAAAAAAGTGCAAAAAAAAAAAAATCAGCAGTGTCACATGGCTGAGCCCACCCGAACTGCTACCTGTGCCAGGGCAGCACAGGAACTGCTCCCTCCAGAGATGTGAATCCCTCATCTCCAAACAAGGTGCCTGTCCATGTGTCACCCCTTTCCAGGCAGCCTGTGGTGCCCCTGGGATGAGGGACGATCACAAGAGTCATTTGTGCATCTTCTTCCCCGCTCTCATCGCTTCCTTAAACGACAAAAGGGAGAGGGGAGGCCTTGAGCCCGCTCTGGTCACGAGTCTGGCTGCTGTCTGTAAACTCATCACGCTATTTCTGCTATGGGCAGGGACTGGAGAACCAGAGCCTGTATGTTATTGTTACAGCTATTTTTAAATGCTTGGGTAAGAGTCAAGTGCAACAGTATTGGTGGCCATATTCATAACTCAGGAGGAGACTCAGCTACATTCCTGGAGGGACAGAGCTGGGCATAGCCAGAAAGCAATGGAGAGAGAGAAAAGAGGGAAAACTTAATGCTGGATGGTGTCATTCCAGGAGAAAGCCTTGAATTATTTTCTGTAGGCTTTGGCACTCAAGCCCATCTGGGGAAGCACGTTTGCAGAGCACCAGGGACCTTTCTGGCCTCTTTGAGTGTGCAATGACCAACTACTATGATGCTTATACACACGAGTTGCCCAGCTGTAGAAAAGCCTGTTTATCTTGTAAAAAAATTGACTTGCATAGGAAAGCATCCAGAGACATCTGTATTCTTGCAAAAAGCACCAGGGGACAATAAATATAGTGAGATTCCTCACCTTTTATGGACTTGAGCCTTTCTGCTTTTGGAACTAGAGGTGCCAAGAGCCTCTCACCAGCCAGCAACACCCCTCACACAGAGGGAAGGGACGCTGCAAGGGAAAGGGATCTGTCTGGCCAAACAGGAGCTGTTATCAGCAAAGACAGAAGCTTGCTGCTACTAGAAGGATTTTCTGCCTGTGGTATGCCCCTGAGAGCATTCAAGAAGTCTCTATAGGCTCTTGCTGTCCCTCTGGAGCATCTCAAGAACAACCAGCCCTGCCCTCTGAGGCCCAGTGTCCCCAGGTGGTTTATCACCCTCTCCTGCAAGCTCTGCACCCTCCCTTGGCTCCTTCCCCTTCCCAAATGAAGTTATGGATGCCAGGCTGTGGCTCCCTTCACTGGAAGTGTGGAAGAGGGCACTGGGGTGCAGACTGTTCCAAAAGCAGGTGCTGTGAAGCACTGCTGAGCGTGTTGCGGTGCCCAGCGTTGGAGGGTACAGGGAGGATAGAAGTGCTGTGGGGTCCCACACAGATCTGGAAACCTCGTTTTAGGCACCGCCACAGCATGTCCCTCTGCCCCGGCTACCATGGGTATGGACATGCATCTTGATTTCTGCACAGATACAGCACAGCCTTTAGCTTTTTTGGCTGCCTGTGGGCACCAACCCCAGACAGTACTTTTATCTATTTGATTCAAAACAGCCCTTGGCCTGTTGCACTTCACTAGAAAAGCTTTCTGCCCCTCCCAGCACGCAGCCTCACTCCAGTTCAGGTAGCAGTGGTGACCATTTGTGATGCTCCAGGAGCACATACCACCTGATGCTGGGGTCCACCAGCATCTGCCTTGAGCCATTTCAAGGTCCCAAAATGTCTGTCTGTACACAGTGATAATCCAGCCTGGCCTTGCTCTGTGCTTGCCTCCCCTGTAGAGTCTCTTCACATGCCATCTTCTTCCAGGCTCCCTGCAGAGAAGCAGTCTCTGTCCCTCCTGCCCCACAACTGGGGGCTTCCTGTGGTGAGACAAGTCTCCTTTCTCACTGGAACAAACAACAACACTTGTTAGCTCGGGCTTGCTGTCTGTGTTTCAGGACAAAGATTAACCATCCCATGTGGTGGACTTAAGCCCCTAAAAACCAAGGAGAGGCAAAGCTCAGTGTGCTGAGCCCCTCCTGCTCATCACCCAGGCAGTGTTACAGCCAGTACCCACAGGCACAGTTTCTATTGTGCCACTGTCCTTCACTCATGAATCTGTGGAAGATTAAACATTTTTTGCTGAATTTCCACCGTTGTCAAGTCCTACAGATGCTCCAGCTCCACCCCCCAACCCAACCCTGCCTCTACATTCCAGAACAAACTAATTGCTTTGACTGGAGTTTCAAGACTTTCCTGCCCCTGCTTAAAATGGGCACAGCTTAAGTAGAGCAAATTGCAATGGCTTGGGATGTTTATCCACTCTTAGAGCTCCTAAACCCTTGCAGGACACAGAAGACTGGCACAGAGCTCTCTCCCTGCACCTCCTGACCTCTTTGTTGAGGTGGGATCTATTTCCTCTCCTTTACTTCTGACTCAGAAGAGACTCTTTACAGATGACAGCAGAGTGAGACCTGCATACAGTTCAACCTTGTTGCTCTGTTTTCTTTACAGAAATTCCCATAGCAGTCCATGGCACTGTCATCTCCAGAAGTATGTGCCCCTCTACCCCAGCCCACAGGCTCCTCACTTACAGAAATTTGAGATTCTGGCAGATGAGCTTCTTTGCAGAGATACTTCAAAATGAGGAGAGTTTCTGAGTCACTGTAAAATTGCTGTGCTGGTACAGGATAGATTGCATCCTGGTGGTGCAAATGTGTCCCAGGTTGCTATCAAGCTTATTTGGGAACATTAATGAAAGCATTTGCAAACTAGTGGCTTTGTGACTCCCAGGGATGTAGCGAACTGTGCAACTGGATTTCCCCTTGCTCTGTGTAATGCTGAGATGTTTCCCTTGCCTCTTGCCTTCAGCTATAGCCCTGTACATTGCCCTGGCCTTTCCTTGCAATAAGAGCTGTCATTAGGTACCCCTTGGCTGAACTCCCCCTGTACAAATGAGAATGAACTGATGCCTGTTGTGTCTTCATTCGTTTGCCCCATGTTGCTTCCTTCATCTTCCGAGCTCTTGAGAAAAACATGCTCATGCAGGGAGCCTTGCAGGAGATCTGCTTGTCTTGCTCTTAATCAGGAAGTATGCACTTCTTTCAGCAGCTCAAGAGAGCAATAGATGGCAATAATACCTCTTACATTACAGTCACTATGTTAGCAAGGAAGAAAATGTTATTTATTTTTTAGCTGACAACATTTGTCCTACTTCTTTTTTTCCATAATGCATTAAGCATTAGGAGGCACAGCTCTGCACGTAGTCCAGCTCTCAAGACTACCTGTCGAGGACATTGTTCAGCAATCCAGCACAGTTTTATTTGTGGATGAAGGGCAGAAGTTGGTGAATTCTCCTACAATTCCTAGCTGGAAGAACACAGACATGCTAGCAAAACCCACAAAATGCAGGGTTTGGTAAATTGCAGCCCTCTATATCCCAGGTCTCTGTGCCAAGGAGACCTGGCATGAGGTTGCAAAATCCAAACCATGAACTTCCTGAAGACCACTCAGCAGTGATGGGCATCTTTACACCTACTGCTGTCCCTCAGCTACTTGGAGAGGTCTCTGGTATACCTGGTGTTCACCAGGTGTGAACATCACCGCTAATAAAGAGAGAAGAGGACACGGAGGATACCACATTCTACCTACCTACCACCCCAAAAACAAGCCCCTGGGATATTCCCTGCAAAAAGCAGTCAGACTGCCAGGAGCAAAGCAGTCACCAGGAAACGTCACACATCTCAAAGGCAGCAGGTTCCCCACGGTGCTCTCTCTCTGCTGCTCCCCACATCACTGCCATGAGGGAAGAGCCACTCACAGCCCAGCACCCTGCAGGCAGAGCCAGAGGAGAGACCTGAGCTCCCCATGCTTGTTCATGGGAGCATCAGCCCTGGTTTCAGCCAGGGAGGCCTGCAGGGAGTGGCCATGATAGTTTGAAGGAAAGCGAAATGAGATGGGAATTAGTAAAAAAATTACAGTAGTGGTAATTTAGTTTCATTACTGATTTTCTGCATTAATGAAGAGGCCCAATTATCTCAATGCTTGAGTGACCACTCCAGTTCTCAAAAGTCATTTCTGCACACTTGAACAACTGCTCCTTCTTCTAGTGTAAAAATCAGGCTATTGTTGTGAGCCTGGAGAGAACATGGAAACACATCTTTCCTGGCAGAGATGCAATCCATGTCAGAAGCTTCTTCCACTGTCCCACTCAGGAGTGGAGGGACACTCAGGCAGGGAGCTGGCAGCTGCCTGCACAGCCTGTCCCAGGGTTGCTGGATGCTCCCCATGGTTGAGGCAGCAAGGATCCCCTGGAACAGCAGGATGCAAGAAAGAAAGAGCTCAAAATGGCTCTCTGGGCCTAAGAAGTGAGAGGAACAGCTGGTGGCTGGATGCATCCCATGAGGCAAGGCAGGCAGCAGGCAAGTGGCCCTGCAGCACAGGTGACTCCCCCCAACAGGCACCACATGCCAGGGTGGAGACGGCACTGCCAAGGCAAGTTGTCTTCTGGTATTTTGGATGTGCTGGAGCACATCAACGACGTGCTCCAGATATAATGGCTCTAGTTTTCCTGCTCCCCTCTGACAGCCACCACTGTCCCCCTGCTCAGCAGCCTGAGGGGAGCTCCCCATCATCCCAGGAGCAGCACGGGGGAGGCAGGCGGGGAGGAGGCTGCAACCACCCTTCCTGACGCACCCAAAGCACCAGTCAGCCCAGCCACAGTCATCCTGTGTTACCCATCATCCTGTGTGTCCTCCACCTCACAGCCACAGGGCACCCTAGGGCAGGCAGACATCTTGTGCAAACCTTGACAGACAGAGAGAGGGGGGGGGGGGAGGAGACCTCTGACAGCCCAACTGTCCCCCTGGTCCCCCCACCAGGGACAGGGCAGGCAGATCCCAGCTGGACAGAGCCAAATTTTTTCAAAGCAGGGCTGAAAGGAGAGTTTGCAGAAGAACTGGTTTGCCTGGTGACAGGAACCAGAGCACTGGTCATAAATTCAACTCCTCCTTCCCTCTGCCACCTGTGCTGTGCTTGGTGCCACGAGCTAACACTGCCCCAGCAATGCAGAGCCCCTGTGCTGGTGGGTCAAAGCTGGGTCACCCCTGGGCTCAGCAGCTGGAGCCTCCCAATCTCTCTGTCTCTGTCATAGTTCCTCACAAATTCAATGGCACAATGCAGCTACACTATATGAAAAGCCATAATATTTGTTGGTATGACTCTTTTATTACTGTCGATTTATATATATATTTGTTGATAAAAGAAGTCATCTTGGGAGACACTTCTAGTCTACTGGGAAATAATTGTCCAATGTTGTATATTCTGTACATGCTGTATAAACAAAGCGAAACATTTAAATCTAAGTGTTTGATGGACTCGGTGGCATGTGCTGCAGGGGGAGATTGGGACCAGGCAAGCCCCCTTCTTGGGCCACCATGGCTCAGGCTTGGGGTTCCTGGCAGAGTCACCATCCTGCTGGGGTCCTACAGACAGTATGGGGCAGGATCTGGCCACGGTGCAAGGGCGAAGCCTGCAGCTGCCTCGGTGCTTTTTCCCATGCAAAGGTGAAAGGAGGCAACTCTGCGAGTGGAAGCTGCCGCACTTGAGCTCCCTCCTGGGGCACAGCACAGGACCGGGGAACGGCTTGGTTTGTCAGGAACTCTCAGCACAGCGAGCCTGGTGTCACCCACCTGCTCCCCAGTTCTCCTGCCCAGGGAGGACACCCTTCAGCCACCACCCAGCACGACATCTCTAAGCCTTAGGGGTCAGAGAGAGACAATTCCCCATGGGAAGATGGCTGGTGATGGCAGAGACTGGCTCCGAGCATCCGGCTCCTCCAACTCCTTCCCACGCTAATCCCGTGCCACGGCGCCAGCCACCCTCCCTGGTGTGTTTTACAGCAGCCACGAGCTGTGATCTTCTAACCTGACACACGCTGTTAGAAAACCTGTTTCATATTTTCCGTGGTATCAATCTACAACTTTTGAAATTATTGGACACAGTCGTGGTAGCCTAAAAGTTGTGCTGAGCTCATATATTTTTATATTTGTGGTGTTTTCCTATTAATAGAGAGTAGTGAACCAGTAACCCTATAGCTGAAAGTGATCTATTCAAAATAAATATATGACTGCAGAAAATATTTGTAAAAATAATTTATTTGAAATATTCTGCCAAAGATAGCTCTCTAATGATCTGTAAAATGTCGTTTCTCTCTTTTTGCTCTGAATGTCATTGTGAAAGGACCTTTCTCCCCACATCTTTTGAAGTTGTTTTTTTTTTGTATCTTTAAGGGCAAAGAAATATGCCAATGATTTTTTTACTAGAGCAGTAAATAGAGTAGTAGGGAGGAACAAGACAACTTTGTAAAGGTGATAAAAAGGATCCGTAACAATCACGCTGAAAATCCGGTTTCTCCCCTAGTTACTCTGGCTGACAGATGGGTTTTGAAGCCCGGGACAGTTGTCCAGCAGGAAGGTCTTGGCTGCTGCTGCTGTGGCTGCTGTGTAGACTGCCTGAAGGAGAGAAATCTCTCAAGAATCCATTTGCAGGCTTGGGGCATTTGGATTCCCTCATATCCAAACTCCAGTTTCTTCATTATGTATGGGCTTTATATCCTTATTGGCCCTCAATAGGCCTTGTGGCACATGGGGAACCCTCACCCAAGGCTTCAGACTGACAAAGTCTGGCCCCTTCCAAAACCATTCCCACAACACACCTGGCATCTGCCAGCAGCCCTGAACCAGTGGCAGAAGTAATCCTGCTGATGCCCAGATCTGTCCCCTTCCTCACATGGGGATGGGACAAGGGAGACCCAGTCACCAAGGGACATGACACCTTAGCAAGAGGATCCGTCCCTGCAGGTATCCAGTTACAACAGGGGCATGTACAGCCCTTCACCAGGGAGAAGCTGCCTAGATCAGTCTTTTCAGAAATTACTAATTTTTTTTTTATTATAGAGAAAAATCTTCTTTCCCTTCTTCATTTCTTCCTTTTGAAAGAACTTTTCGATACTAGAAAAAGCCTTCATTATCTTATGTGATCCCCAAGTCTGTTGCAGTGGAAATACATCCTCAGCCACATTAGGTACCACCATATCAAAGAGATTTTTGGCTCAGATTTTTTTTGTTTCTGAGCAGATTTACAGTTTCTTGAATGTCTTGGTCACAAAGGTCTGGAGGAATTAGCTGGTAATAAAGGAATGAAAGGCCTGTTCCAGTGAATGTGTAATTCAACTTCTGACTCCCCAAAGGTCAGGCACGTGTGTAAGTGCTTTATTGGGCAGGTGCCCAGAATCAGAGATGGGAAAAGCAGTTTCCAAGCCATGGGGTGCATATGGGTGTGATGGGAGCACTGCTGTCCATCAGGTGTGGGTGGCACACTCTGCAGCAGTGGGATCCACGTGCCAGTGAATCTTTGTTCCTCTGTGCAAGGAACTCTCTGAATCCGGGGTTGTGCAGCTGCTGCATCACGGGGAAATGCGAGCAAGCCAGGGAAGACAATAGTGAGAAGAATTGGGTTTCTGATCACTGTGCATTTTGTTAATTAGTGAATTCAAATAGTTTTATTTTTACCAAAAACAGATAATCTTTATTCCAGTAAAGACAACTGTTGACTTGAGATATATATATAAATATATATATAATTTGAATGGTTTATATCCTGTTGCTCTAACTACATAAAATGGAAACATGTTGCAAGTTGTGTCATTCCAATGTACAAAATAAATTACTTTTCCCTGCATGCTGCCTGGGTATGTTGTGATTTGAATTAAGAGTTATATTTGAATTGCCTTATTCAAGAGGTTGTATGTTACCTAACTGGGGAATGACCTGGCACTGTTCATCACATTACATTTGTACTTGATGCTGTGTTATGTCAAATTCAGATGAGTTGTCTGTCATCTATGTATTTCGTGGGAGACCTTTTATCTTGTTAAACTGTGATATGTAAACCTTCATTGCCTGAAATAGTCACAGTTGTATAAATCAGTGTCTTCAGCTGTTTTCCTAATTTTATCACAATTCCTAACACAAAATATAGATGTTTGTAAATTCTCCATTCATTTTGTCTATTTTTATGCATGAGGGTTTTTTTAATCTGGCAAAGCAGTAAGATAAGGCGGCTTCCCCAGAATTTTTCAATCAAGACTCAGTTACATTTTTATCCCTCGGCAAGAGGCAACAACCAATTTTCAGCAGCTACAATTGGAATGAGGGATGTCTGTTTATTGCTATTATTTTCCTGGCTCAGATGGGCCATTATCACTGCAGAACACAATGATTAATGACAAGCCAAACATGATGCTTCTGCAGTGACAGCGCTCTGGGGACCAGGCACTCCACAGCACCTTCTTCAGGCCCTACACCTCTGCTGTGCCACAGGCTGGGTGGGAAGGGAGAGGGTGGGTGCCCCTGCCACAGTCAGACAACCCAGAGGAGAGAGAGAGGAGATGCTGCTTACTAATCCTAGCTCCAGGATGCTTTTCCTCCTTACAAAAACCCCAAGACCATGCCATCTGCCATCCTGCATGACATCCCAGCCACAAAGCTGCCCCTTGTCCATTCATTTGCCCCACAGCTGCAGCACATTGCTGAAGACCAACATCCCATCCTGATATTGTGTCGAGCAAAATTCCCCACCATGGCTGCTCCTACAGCATCTGCTGAAGACACACAGGGGTGTTTTTCCTAGCTTTGGTTTCCAGTCGTGGGATCACATTACTCCATGGCTGGCTAACAGCAATGTGCTCCCCATCTAGGCACTGGTATACCCCATACAGCTCAGATCCTTTGGAAAACATGCTTCTTGAAGGAAGCAGCACCATGTAGACACAAACCTGTTCCAGTGCTGGCACAAGGACAAGATGACCCAATACCCCCTGCAGCAAGGGTCACTAGTTCTGCTGTGTCACCCCTCCTGTCCCCCACCACACAAAACTGGCTACAGCACAGCCAGGAAACAGGTCTGTTTGGGAAACAAACGCCCAGGAGTCCATCTCCAGCTTGCAGGTGACTGGAGCATTTCTGGACATTTTAAACCCATGCCTAAAATCCCAAATGAAACAGTTGTTGAGATCATTAAAACACTCTTGTCAGAGCCAGAACACAGTCCCTGGTCTGTTGTGCAGGTGCCACATCATCGTAAACACAAGCAGCATAAATGTCTCAGGCACACAAAGCACACCGAGGTGTCTCAGCCCTGGTGTGAAAGCCTCAGTTTTGACTGTAGTCGCACAACAGTGCTGCACAAAACACTGCTCAGTTTTTACGTCTAGTAACCATAAGAAACACATGGTCGGAGAAATAAATTACTGGAGCAGGATACGCCATGGTCCTGGATTATTGAATCCCTTCAAGGGTTTTGAGTGTTAAAAAATTTCCTGTCCCATCCAGAAACGCAGCCCTTTTTTTTTTTTTCTTTTATTTGTGGCATGTTTCAGGTTGAAGGACACCGCTGTCAAAAGCACTGGGAAGGGCTGGGGTGGTGCGGGTAGGAGGTTGCCAAAGGCAGCCAGACAGTGCCTTAACCACTCGAGGTCTCTCAAAGTGACCCCAAGGGTGCGCTGTCGCCCAAAGAGCGCCGAGACCGGGCAACTCAGCGCAGCGAACGGCGGTGGGCGGGAGCCGCCGGAGGCCACGCCCTCCAAGGAGGCCCCCATTGGCCCCACGCCGCCCCGCGCCGCCCCGCCGACGGCCCCCATTGGCCCCGCACTGCCCCGCGCGGCCCCGCCGGCGGCTCCCATTGGCTGCAGTTCCCGCGGGATTCCGGCGCGCGCGGCTTCGGGATGGCGGGAGAGCGGGTCATGGAGCTGGTGCGGGAACTGCACCGCGCCACCGGCGGGCACCTCCCGCCATTCCGGGTGAGCAGAGACGGGGCGACTGGGAACGCCGGGAGCGGGAGGGGCCCCGCTCTCGCTGACTGTGTCCCGTGTTGCAGACGGAGGGGCTGCGGCAGGCGCTGGAGGAGATGCGGGCGCTGTACGAGCGGAACCAGGCGGATGTGTGAGTGTTGGCGCGTCCCGCAGAGCCCGGGAGTTGCCCCCCTCTGGCCTTATCCTCCTCATCGTCCTCTTCCTCGTCCTCCAGGTCCGAAGCGAAGTCGGGGCGGACGGACCTAATTTTCCTCATCCGGTTCCGGCACTGCTGCCTGCTCCGGAACCAGCGCTGCCTCCTGGCCTACCTGTGAGTGCGGGGGCGGCCGTCGGTGCCGCGGGGAATCGGTTCACCCCCGCCGGTACAGGGTCCCTCGGGACAGGGTGTTGGGACTCGGCCCGGGCAGGTGGTTCCTCCGCGAGGTGCGGGACTGGTTCTCCTTGTGTTCATTGCCGGTACCAACAAAGAGAAGGCCCTGCTTCCCTCTGCTCTTTAAGAGTTTTCATTATGAATAGGCCAGATATCACAGGTGGAATGACCCAAGTGTTTGCTCTCTGCTCTGAGGGCAGACTGGGGCATCATCGTTGCCTGGGGATGTTGCCAGCACTCACCTTAAAGATGCTGGGTTTGCCCCGTTTCTTCCCCCAGGTACGACCGGCTGCTGCGGATCCGAGCGCTGAGGTGGGAGTATGGCAGTGTCCTGCCAAACACCATCCAGTTCCACATGTCAGCTGAGGAAGTGAGTCAGCCTTGTTTTAAACTCTTCCTCCCTTTCCACTTACTCCTCCTCTTCCCCCCACTATAAACATGATGCTTAACGTGCCTTTCTGTAAATACTTATTTGTTAATTCATTGTCTATGGGTACAACCCCAAATGGGCACTGAGTGCACTTTTTGATGCACTTTTAAGGATCAGGTGATCTCCATTAGATCAGACTCACAGAGAGACCAACAGAACTAGGTCCATATGTGCTGCTCTCAAATGTCATCTCTAGACCAAAGTACAGAGCTGCTGACATTAGCAGCATCTGTCCTACCCTGAATCCAGATTGCTCTGCCTCAAGGGTGGTTTTTCCTTTTTAGAAGAGCTTGTATTCGTTCACCTTTGGCTGTCAGGAGCATGCTTGGGAACAGTGGTCTGACAACACAAATAAACTACATCTCATTCATCAGGGACCTGTCTTTCAGCATTAGCTGTTTGGCTTTGACTGAGGGATCACTGTTACTGCCCACAGGTGGAGTGGTTCAATCGGTACAAAAAGTCTCTGGCTACCTACATGAGGTCAGTAGGAGGAGAGGAGGGGCTGGACCTTACACAGGACATAAAACCTCCTAAAAGCCTGTACATTGAAGTAAGTGCAAGATCTGTGGTTTCTGTCTGTGAACAAACATTTACCCGACCATCTGTTTTAGAGAACTTTATCCCCATCCCAAGTCAGTTCATTAAGCAAAGCCTCTGAGAGCACCAAAGCTTCTACAGGCTTCTGGATTTTACTCTGCCAGCGTTTTACTCCTACTGAGGGCACAATGTATGGTCAAAGATGATATTTCTAGTCTGTAGGGCATTTGTGATGGGGTGAGTTATCCAGTGAGAAGTTTCTGCAGCTTTTTGCAGAAACTTAACCAACTCTCAGATCAACTAGAAACCATGTTCCCACGTTAAGGACTGTTACCTAGGGGGCTTTGTTGTTTTTTTTTAAATGGACTCTTATAGATGAGACTATAAATTGCTTTACACAATTGATACAACAAAGCAAGAGCACGTGAGAAATCACAGTCAGTAGCTGAAGTGCTCTGTTCTGATATTCTCTTCTAAAAAACATGTAGTGACAATAAACCTGCTCCTTAAGCACATTCACTGTTAAAACAGATTGACATTTTCTGGTATGTTTGTGAGGAGGGGAGGGTCACCAGTCCCTATCTCTTATGCTCCTCTTCCTCAAGTTTCTGGAGAGACTGGGCTTTTGTTCCAGGCAGAGACAGGAAGAGAACGTCAAGGTGGAGCCCACAGACCATGGGCACTGATCCATGGGATCAGTTCAGTTCTGCATTTCTAGGTCTGCTCTGTACTGAGACTCCCTCAGGCAGGGAGCAGTGTGTCCATTCTCACAGTCCTGGGGCACGTGTTGCAAGCCAGCAGTGATGTTTAGTGTTTCTATGGGAGATGGGGTGATTTGGGAGCTGTGTTTCTGCTTTGCAGGTGCGGTGTTTAAGAGACCATGGAGAATTTGAGATTGATGATGGGACTACCATCCTGTTGAAGAAGAACAGCCAGGTACCCATGACAAGAATGTCATCCATTCTCTTCCTTCTCTTTCACTCCCATAACATCCCCCTGCTTATCCCAGCTTTGCAGCATGTCACAATTCCTACACACACAGCTCCCTGCACATGCTGCAGGCTGTCTGCATGGCCCAGACTGCAGCTCTGCCTGGTCTGGTACCATGATGCAGTGGGTATATAGCACAAAGAACAGAGCTGGCTGTGTGGAGCAAGAAATCCAACAAATTCAAGGAAAGTTCTCCTGTGTTTCTGTGCAGCACTTTTTACCCCGCTGGAAATGCGAGCAGTTAATCAGACAAGGAGTCCTGGAGCACATTCTCTCCTAAGTGTGGAGGACAAGAGGGACAACTCTTGCTTGGTGTCCTGCCCACAATGGGGACTGAACTGTAGTGTGTGCAGCACTTCAGACACCTCAGTGTTTCTGCAGTGGCACCCTGCCACTCCTCCCTACAGCCTTTGGTGCCTTACCTGAAGATCAGCCCTATATTATGCAAACGACATTGGCCATCGCTCTGGGAGGAAACGGTGCATACTGGTAATGTAGTGATCCTGGGAATCCGGGGGGTAGGAAGTGGGGAGTGGGGCATTATCCAAGCCCCAGAGCTACAACTGGCATTTGTAAATGCATTTTTGTTTGGAGTGATTGTTCACGTGGGAGTAAGACACCAACTGGCTGGGCTCTGGAAGCCAGGAAAGCTCCGTGGTTGCAAAATAAAGAACTGCTTCAGCCTTCACTGTAGTGATTTTTAAGAGTTAATGTTGTGTTCATTAAGCACTCTGATCTGGGTCCCTAGTCAAACCTGTCCTGACCCTGCAGCATGATGGTTATTTAAGTGTCTCAGTGGAACTGTTCCTCCAAGTATCAGAAAAAGCTGTGCAAGCTTCTTTCCAGGATTAGACAAG